TTACATGTATTGGAGCTGATGTGTACTATGGTCATTGCTGCTGCTGCCCAGGAGTAGTGGGAGTCTGAGCACAGGACTTATTTTTGTGTATTTGTATTTTAAGTTTGTTGTTGACCATGACAAAGGAATGTCTAGAAGGCTTTTAGAACAAAAAATGTTTGGCAATAATAGAATGGAAGATTTTTTCCAATTAACTGTGAAGTCTGCGATTGTGTGAAATAATTTTAGAGTCTAATGTTAACTATACAACTTGTGTTATCCAAAAGGTTTTTAAAAAAAAAAAAAAGTAGGAAAATTTGTATTAGGAATAATGAGTCACATGAATACAGCAACAGGAATATTGGGTTACCAGAAATAACTGAAAACACGTTTCAATGTGAGCAGTATGTTAAATGTTAGTGGAGAAAGGCCTATCAGCAGTTTGTGATGGCACTAGTATCTCATTTCCAGTCCATTCATAGTCTTACCCAGTTTTATTCAGCTTTAGAAATGCCTGTATACAGATAAGATATGTATATCTAAATCACTGCTTGTGTCCAGTTATGAACAACAGAAAAAAAAAGACTAAGCACTAATTAACAGATGAAGGGATATCCCTCCAAACCCTTCGGAAACAAAGATAGTAAGAAAAATAGAGGTAAGGGCTTTGCCGATTTCTCCAACAAAATATAATGAGCAGTGAAAATCACAACATAAACTAAGTAAAAAAATCCAAATATCAATAAAAAAAAAAGTCCAATAAAAAGGATCTTACTCAGATCGAATATAGTTTAAGGTGCTTAAACAGGAGCAATATCCTCAGTGTCTTTTTCCGGATGAATCCACAAAAAACAGATAAAAAGAACCAATAGAGCAATATGAACGGTCCAATATGTACATAGATGAAATAAACGGGGAAAAACACACATTTAGTAGAGCTAGCTCTAGTGTGATGGGCGTACAGCGGTATAATCCCCACTTATGGCATATGTTGTGGGTTTCTTCCGTCTGGGGTATGGTCCACACTCCGGAAAGAGGGTAAAAAGAGACAACTAATAGTGCTCACATAAAAACAACAATATATTTAATAACTAAAATAGTACTCACAAGCAAAGAGCAAGCTAACTGCTCCTTGGTAACAGCCCTAGTGGTATGATCCCCACCTTGGATTTCTTGGAGTGCAGGATACTAAAAAATGCCAGGTAAAAATCAAGTGTATAGAAAAGATAGTTGGCACCAGGGAAGTGACCAAAAAAATCTTTATTACAATACACAATTAAAAATCCACAAACGCGTTTCGCCTCAGGGCTTTATCAAAATGGAATAACACTTAATACCAGGCAGTATGAGTTTAAATAGGGATACAAATTATTAAGATTGACGCCAAAACTAAGAACAGCCAATCACAGTACACATAGTGAAATACAACTTAAAATAGGCTAAAACATATAAAGGTAGTAAACAGAGTAATTGTAGTACTTGGGTATTTAATATCATGTAAAAACGAGGTGTCTATCACAGAATATAAGTGATTTATTGTGATCATGTGACATTAAAAAAAATATAATTTTTTTTTTCCTCTCTCTTTATTAGCAAATGATAACAAATAACATATATGAGGATTACATATATGAACGGTTAGAAATATATGTTGTGAGGGCTATAATCAATAAGGGAATATAACATGGTAAAATAAAAATAGATAAGACAATAAAAATAGCAGACGACAGAGATAAAACAATTAAAACACTAAATATATAAAACAATAAAAATAGCAGATGATAGGTTTTTAAGCACCTTGTGGTCATTCCAACATACTGAAAGCCACAGGGGCATTCAAGCAGATATATTACATTCTTTGCATTGCAATTAATGAAATCTTTTATCTTATAAACCCTTTTTGTCGTATTAGAAGTGTATTGAGTTACTTTGGAAGGTACCGTGGGGGCTGTAGTTTTACAGACTATGCAAATTTTGCATTTGCAAAAACCTATGGTTTTGGGGGAAAAGGACAGATTTTGTTTGTTTGGAGTTTCTCTAGTAAAATTGGTAGTTAAAATGGATTTAAAATTGGGTGCTCCTCTAAAAACTATATTTGGATTTTCGGGTATGATTTGGCTGAGAGTCTCATCTTGTTTTAAAATTTGCCAATGTTTCTTTATGATCTTTTTTAAGTTTATACTTTTATTATTAAAATCTAAAATAGTGGGGAAAGATAAAGATTCATTGGTATATTTTGGCTTATATATTAAAAGATCATTTATATCCTTTTGTTTAAGCGTATCAATAGTATTTTTTAGGTCTGTTTCAGAGTAGTTTTTTTCATCAAATTTGGTTTTTAAAAATTCAGCTTGCTCGTTAAAATCATTTAGTCTGGAACAATTTCTACGGAGACATAGAAATTAGCTTTTTGGGCCACTATCAAGCCAGGGTTTATAATGACAGCTTGATTTGTCTATCGCAGTGTTTACACAGACTTTTTAAAAAAAAAATGTTTTTGTATGTAACTGTCCATTTTTAATAAAAATATTCAAATCTAAAAAAATTAATCTGTTCCTTACTATATACGTATGTTAAAATAATGCCTCTATTGTTAGTGTTCAGATTGTCAATAAAGGGGATGGGGCTATCCTCTGAACCTTCCCAAATAAAAAAAGAGATTGTCAATATACCTAAAATATGGGACAAGGTTTGCCTTCCAATCATGGTTCCCAAAAATGGTTTAGGATTCCCAGTCAGCCATTGTGGCGAAACCAACCTCGCCACTGTGAACTGGAGAAGCCTGGTTGCTCGCCTGCTCCCTTTGGACTATGGCCCTGCAGGTTAAACCGTTTATTTCCCCTGCAGAAAGGCTTATTTGTGTGATCTGAGTGCCATTCATCTAATAATGTGCACTCAGATCCCAGCTATCTGGGGATATGTGAAATGTCTGTGTGTTATGTGTAAATGTGACTTTATGTATTTTAAAGTGTTTTGTGTCTTTTTGCAACCATGTGCTTAATGGAGTCTTGTGTCTGTCCTGGGAGATAATTGAATTACTCTCCAGGATAGAAGACTCTGAAACTGGTTTGGGCCAGAAAGCCATGCTTCATTTAGTCACAAAGGACTTTTTACTAACTTTTGAACCCCTTGTCTGATTTGTGCCATTTTTGAATATGTTGTTCCCCTGAATGGATTGATTGTGAATATGTAATTTTATGTGAATGTGATGTATGGTTTTGGAGTTATGAAAGTTGGGTAGAAAGTATGTTTTAACTGTATGTATAATTGAGTTTCCTCTCAGGATAAGGGGAGGGAATATGTGGGATGTAACTGTGAGGTGATTGGTTGTTTTGTAACACCCTGTGGGCTGTACTATGTTTGTGGATTGGGAATAAAAGAGACTGTATGTGACAGTACAGAGAGTTCCTGTTTTAACCCTCAAAGTGAAGTGTCGTCTCATTATTGGGGGAAGGATTTATTGTATGCTGTTCCAGTTTGACTGCTAGGAGAGTAAACCTATTCGTATGGTTCCTATTCAACTGTCTACAGCATTCAAATGCTTGAGAGAAGGTATACGCTTCTCTGGTTCGGTGATTGTGGTGTCGGCTGCAGTGCTTGGAGTCCTCAGGAAGCGCTAGGAGCATCCTTTAACGGAGGTACCCAGTCGGGGTGCCAGGCGATCCGTTACAAGTACATTTTGGGCCCTGCGGTGCACTTCATATCTGAGAGTCAAATAGAAGCGTCAAATAGTGCGCTTACTGCTCAGTGGTAAACATTCTATTTGTTTTTCTGCTAATATGCTGCTTACATTGGAGTTTTAAAAAGTCCATTTTTTTGGGGGGGGGCGCTAAATAGTATATTTGGGGTGTTCACTTCATATCTGAGAGTCAAATCGAAGCGTAACTTTGATTAGAATTTACTACATCGGTCACTTGTAATATTGTTTCACATTTGTTACACAGATCTAAGTGATAGAAAACAGATTGATATTTTCTACACTAGAAACTACCAGATAACAAGCTGCTATATTTAAACCAGTGATCAACAGCTAAGAGGTACTTCAACAATATTGTAATTCTGGGGCAATAAGCTCACAAGTCAAACTGAGAGGTCAGTTTATAGTGAAAACTGTTGCCTGGAGGAAATTCTAAAACAATTTCCATATGTCCTTTGCAGACTTTACATGCTGGAAAAACACAGGTGCCAACTGCTGCAGTGTGCATACCGGCAAGGAGGACAGGGTTGAGGAGTGGGTGGAAGATGATGTGGAGGATGATGAGGTCCTAGACCCCACATGGAATCAAGGTCATGCGAGTGACGTGTGCAGTTTGGAGGAAGAGGCACTGGTCGCACAGAGGCACCAGCACAGCATGGTGCAGGGTGCAAAAGCGGAGCGGCCGTCCCCTAGCGCTTGTTGGCATGTATTAGCTCGAGAATTACCAGTTATCCAAGTAATACATGTAGCGATCAAAGGATCCATAATAGAGTTGAGTGAACCCGAACTACAAAGTTCAGGTTCGTACCAGATTTAACGATCCATTCGTAGTTTCACAGTGAGGTGGGCAGTCCGGTGACCGGGACCCAGTATGCCTGATGTTGAAGTTAGGAGTCACAGTGTGGAATGGATTAGCAGGGTCTGGTGCAGGGTAACCGCACGCCCCCTGGTGTTGAGCACCAGCATTTGTGTGGCCACATACCAGGACCCTGATGCAGCTTCAGTAAAAAGAGTACTGGATACGAGAAGCCATCACCAGACTGAACCGCAACTTGGAACAGGATGTGACATTCACTGTAGCGGCTGTGCTCACTTTTGGCGTTGTCACCCTGCTGCTGCTCGCCTGTCTGCGCTGCAGCGTAACTTCAGCCTTCCCGCATGAGACTGTGCGAGCAGCAGCAGGCGATAGTGGAGTTTCAGCTGCAGCACGCACGGGTCAGTGGCTCTGCACCAGACTTCTCTCCAATTGATCAGAATTAAAGGATTTCAAGTGGACTCATTACAATTACAGGGCCTCTAAAGAGTCCTGTATTGTTATATGTTATCACTACCTTCCCGCGTCAGGAGCGGGTCATTTGCGCGCCTGCTGCCTTCCTTGCATGTGGTAGCCATTTCTCAGGGTCCCTGTATGGAATGGAACCCTGATTCCCACAATAAAAAAAATAAAAAAAACAAAAAAACATAAAATACAGTGTTGGCTACCTCCACCTCCTCCTCCACCGCTGCTTCCTCCTCCACTGCCACAGTCACCGCCTCCTCAACCTATGGGTCACTTAGTATAAACTAGATACACATTAGCAGAGACTTGTGAAGGCTTGTGAAGGCCTTTTCTCCATGCATCAGGAGTTGAACATTTCTCCATGCATCAGGACTGCAAGAAATGCACCTCAGGCCACAAATGTTTCTTTATTTGTATGTCTCAATATTTTGTGGTCTACCACAGTAAAACATAAAATACAGTGTTGGCTACCTCATCCTCCCTCCTCCACCGCCACGGTCACCGCCTCCTCAACCTATGGGTCACTTAGTATAAACTATGTACACAATTGCAGAGGCCTTTTCTCCATGCATCAGGAGTTGAGCTCAGTTTGAACAATGAAAGAGAATACCTTGCACTCCAACCCTCTCCCAAATGGAAAATTCTGGTGATCCTCCTGACAGCCATGCTTTAGATTTTGATTTATGTTCTTCCAAAGCTAAAATCAACGATTCCATCTAGTGCTATTTTATGGCTCAGCTGTATTTTAAATTTTTATGTTATTTTAAGTGATTTCCCTATCCACATTTGTTTGCAGGGCACTTGTCCTACTCTTACCCCCATTTTACTTGCTTTCACAGCTCTCCAGCCCCTTCCAGGAGTTTTTTAGAGGCATTTTTGTGGCCAAAAGTTCGGGTCCCCATTGACTTCAATGGGGTTCAAGTTCGGGGTCAAGTTCGAGCTCGAACCCAGACTTTTTTTCAAAGTTCAGCCAAACCCGCCGGACCCGAACATCCAGGTGTCCGCTCAACTCTAGTTGGGAGTTAACTCCTGTAGATAAATATACAAAAAAGGAGAATTGGAGGATGCAGCATAAAACAAATGGGAAAGGAATAGTAAATGGTGCAATAACTGATATTAAAACTTAACATTTAATAGGTCTAATAAAAAAGTCCAACCAATGGGGACTAAGAAGAACAAGAACTGGTCAACAAAAAAAAGATAGAAACAAAAAATAATACTACAATAAAAATACACAAATAATAGATATACACACAGAATAAAAATGAATGTATATAATGTAATGGCTAGAATAGCCACTAGTGGAAGTAGTAAACTAACACCCTAATGGAGTTCTCAGAAGAACACTAAATAGTGGAAAAATGTGTCATGGCGTCAGACAACTTTCACAGTTTAGGTGCAAAGATATGTATAGATGAATACATACTACACACCAACACGGTAATATTATATAGACTATTGTGTCCAAGGTCCCTTGTAGCCTGCGCTCAAAAATATAGGAGTATATTATGCTAACCTATCTTAATATTGAGTAGTATCAATAATGTAATGATTGTTGTGACAATATGTATCTATACTTGGTCTCAGCACTAGAATAAAGTGCAAAATTATTGTAAGTTGAATCGCTCCAATATTAAGTATGATACAATGTTGCAATAGTTGTTGCACAAACTATAATAAAATAGCTGCAAAGGTCTATGGTCGGTCTTTCCGCTGCGTGTGGATATGCAGTGGTAGGATATCTGTAATATAACTGCACACAATTAATAGGAATGGTACGAGTGGGGGAGTACAAATATACAGTAAGAGGGGAAATAAGAAAATAGACTAATAAGCCTTATTGTGCCTTTGAGGGAACCCCTTACCCTGACAAAAACACTTGCCCTGTGCTATCCTGTGTTATAGGTATAGCCACCACCCCAGAGAATAGAAGAATAGTAACAAACCTAGTATTATTATAATAGTAGATATAATCGCACTGAGACACTGAGATAGCATGCAGCTTTAAGGACCGTTGGTTGTAAAGATAAGTAACTAGTAGTCTGAATGAATAAAGTTCCTAATGTGCTTGGTAGCTGTTCTTTGGTAAGATGCTAGTGATAGCAGAGATGCCCCTGAGACGCGTTTCGCTTATTCAGCTTATCAGAGGGAAACTGGAATAAACTATTGCCAGTTTAAAAAGGAGATACTGCAATCCAATTTGATCAGCCACATTTGAATGTACCAATGGGCTGTCAGTGCACCGGGAGTTGTAATTTCAATAATGAATGGGAAGGAAATCGTGAAAACACGGAGGAAGGAGAGTAGAAACCAATCCACAGAACTGTGCACAGTAAAACACCGTATAATGTGTATGATTTATGGGTATAACTAAATACCCAATTATTGTATGATGGCATAGTGAAAACCGAGAAATAAATAAAGCATGAGAATAAAATTAAAGATAAAATAAAATTAATAAAGAGTATGGCTAGACTTAATAAAAAAGCATACAGACTGTGTTGCCTACTAGAAATAATGTATAGAAATCATATACACTTAAGTAATTATCAGTGGATTCGAATGATTAGGTCCAAGAAACTTGCTAAGAATATAGCTGAAAGCATCGCCGCTAGATGCTGATCAGGTATGAAATATATAAATAAGTCGTTATTGCAAGAACAGTCGTCTCTTTATATATAGAACAGTGTGAGTCGGCTAAAGTATAGTCCAGAAATGGATGCAAAGTGTGTTAAACTTGGCATGACAATGATACACAGATTCAAAGATAATGGGAGACGAAAAAGAACAGTGCAGTTTTGTCAGAAAGTCTCTCCAAGTATGGTCTCATGATGGCTTAAAAATAATAATAACAGCTTGCTTGATGCATGGATGTACCGGCAGATAGAACAGAATTTTATTATTAGCCACGATAGTTTATCAGCTGCCTGAACTTTGATAATACTATTTTGTCAATTCAATTTTCCGTAATTGTGATACCTGGACATAATAATGTATATACATGGAGAAGATGTCGATAATTTCAATTAAACACATTTTTAAAAGATATGTCAATAAGCATAATCACAGTATGTCCTCTGTATAATCTGTAATAATACTATTTTGCCAGTTCCATTGTTACAAATGGTGATACATATACGGATTCTAAGAAGGCATGAGTATTTGCATGTACATATTTAAGCCAGAGACATGATGAGTGATGTACGGCACAGTAGAATTTGTATAACCCTAAGGTGACAGTGAGCAAACATGCCGATATAATCACTGTTAAATATAAAGTTAATACTATAATATGATAGATGGTTACTAGCCACAAAGAGATAATAACCATTGGCTAAAAGGTGGAATCGGTCTAGTATAGGTTCGGAGTTCGGAAGTTAAAACTAATTGTTGAAAGTTGAGACTTCCGACAACAGTTAGCTTCATAAAGATAGAGATCAAGAGGTGTCTCAGTGGTAATTATAGTAAGATTACCTACAATCCAAAGACAAACAAAGTGTAAATGATAAAAATAAAAGAATAACTGAATAAATATACAAAAAAATGAAATAAATAATGCTAAGGAATAAAAAATGCTAAATTAAGAGTTAAAGGGCAATTGAAATAATTTCAATCAAAAAAGGATGGCTGTCAGAATGTGAGAAAAACTTGTTGTATAGCTTATTATAGAGTCAAAGACCACAATAGTTATCCATGAATAAAGGGAGTGAAATTAAACTCCTCGTTTAAACCTAGAGGTGCCAATGTTTGAAAATTATGTATCCATTTGGACTCTTGTCTTAGCAGTTTTAAATTAAAATTACCCTATTCTGCACAAACAAAACCCTAACACTGAACACGTCCCATTTGGAAATAAGTAGGAAAATACTGTACCGTTGGTACTTGGTCCCTACACGAATGAAACATATCACACCGGCACATTCAGGGATATTTTGGAGATGCAAAAAACACCCAGGAACAATGCTGCACATGTGGTGGACATACCCAGATCTGGGGAAACTGTGGACGGACATACACTCCCTAATACAAAAGTCTGACCAAGACTAACCTACCACAAGCACCTGAACACTACATCCTCCAGTGCCTACCAACTAGCATTAAAAAAGCTGACAGATACTTAATAAACCACATTACTTCCGCCGCACCCACAAGTATAAGCAGAAAATGGCTACAAACAAAACCTCCGCACATAAATTAATGCATTCAACAAATTGAAGATACGAAAATGTATGAAATGGCGGCTAGAGTGCATAGACCCCCACAGACATACTGGAAGGTGGCGTAGGAAAGGTGGAACAGGCACCAACACACGCCACAAAACCACTAATACAAAGTAAAGGCCCCAACGATAACGAACAATAATGGAAAACCACAAATGATGCTCCAAGATAAATGACACAAAATGAGTAGATGCAACACGGGTCGACCCTCTTCCCTATCCCCCCCCTTCCCCAGTTCTTTGGGGAACTGAATCCTGGTTCTACCTCCAAGTTCAACCCCCCATACCAACCCAACCACCATTAGGAACGTACAGTACATTTCTAAGTTAAGACCAGAAACCAGCACAAACAGCACCACCACTAGAGCTCATCTGGAATAAAGAGCTGAAAGAATTATAATATGTATGATGTAACAAAGTATGATGTAATTCAAGAATATTTCATCTCAAAAATGTGAACGCTTACGCTAAACAATGTACCATGTTGGAATGTAAATCTGTACACATTGTAAAACCATAAAAATTGCACACAAAAAAAAATATTAAAATTACCCTTTCTGGAATTCAGGGTGATTAGTTCAAGAGCCCGAAATTTAAGGTTGGATACATCGCTGTTATGTACTTGCCTAATATGGTTGGCTACTGGAGTGATGATATTTAAATTGGTAACTGTATTGACATGCTGTAAAATTTGTCTCCTAAAATGTTGGTAGGTTTTCCTCACGTACTGTATCCCACAGCTGTAGAGCTACAGTTAGTAAATTGTTTAATAGGAAATTAACTGCTACTAGGCTCATTAGGAACTGTGTTCATTCAGACTACTAGTTACTTATCTTTACAACCAACAGTCCTTTGAGCTTTAAATAGCTGCATGCTATTGCAGTGTCTCAGTGCGATTATATCTACTATTTTAATAATACTAGGCAGGGACGTATTAGCCGCGAGGCAAACAAGGCATTTGCCTTGGGCGGCATTTTTCAGGGGGCGGCAAAAAACGCCGCCCCCCAAATGCCCAGGGCAAATGCCTAGTTAGCCTTGCGGCTAACTGACATCCCGAGCGGGCGGGCGGCTGGCGAGGGAGCACTTCCT